GATCACTTGACTGAGATGTTATATGCTATGTTTCTCCACAACAGAGTTGCTAATTTTCTTTGTCCATACTCCGTCTGTTAGTAGCAAGTCACTAAGTCCAGCTCACACTCAGGAGAGGGAAATTAAGCTTTACCTTATAAAGGAAGGAGTATCAAAGAACTTTTGGGTACATGTTTAAACCGTCATAATTAATATATATTTAAGGGAAGATACTTTGAAGCTACACAAATATTCTATCTCTTCTTATAGTTTTGCCCATTAATTTTGGCATTCATCAGTGGATTTCTGCTGTAGCAATTATTATAGTGGTTTTCTAATGGTGATTTTTCTATTTCCTTCATTCCTTCTGCATTTATCATTTGGAAGTCTTCTGTAAGAGTTGTCCTTCTGTACCCTGAGCAGACTAAAACATTAGAAAAAAGAGTTGTCCCGTCTTCTCCACCTATTTATTCAATAGTTTATTGACATCAGGGTGCACACATGGATATTTATTCTTTGATTTATAATCTGTTGTTATTTTGCTGCTCAAATTGTTCCAGCTTTTGCCATTGGGATCTCTTTCGAGTTGGATCATGTGTCTTTTTGACGCTCTTGATCATTATTTGCTTACCACTTCCTTACGTTCTGGCACTATAAGATGCTCTGGGGTCATTTTTTTCTTCTTTGCTTCATCCCTGGAATCAACCGAAGAGCCTTGTTCCCTTTTATTGAAGAATGGTAGAGACCAAGACATGGGTGCTAGGTGTGCTTGTTGCCACTGAAGGATCATTCTTTCTAGGCCTGTACAGACCTAGAAATGTATGTGTGTATACTAACTAATGAATAAACATATACACTATATCTTTATACTTATATAAATACATATATACACATTTGTCAGGGTCCAGCCCAGACACAACCTAGGAAGTAACGAGGGTCTGCAGAGACAAAGAAATTAAGAGACAAAAGCAAGAATGCCTAACGGTGGACTCCCAGGCGGCTGACTCGAGTATGAGGATGCGAAGGCCGGGAGCCCTGGAGACCCACACTATTTATTGAGTGCTTAAACAAAAAAGCCTGTGCTCAGGGACGTGGGGGTGAAAAGGAAGCGAAGCATCAAGCAGATGATCTATAGCTGTGGCAGTTAGGCATTTCCTTTGGAGGTACAGAGCATGCTCTACTTTGGAGCCAATCAGTAAACAGATGGGAAAAGGCTGCAGATAGAGCCAGCAAGTCTGACCACATTCGGGTGCTTCAAAGAGGTCTTCCTCGCCTTTAGCACGAGGCATGGTCTTCCATTAACTCCCATCCTGTGCCAGATAAGCAGGTCATGCGTCAGCCTTTTTCCCAGGAACATATATTTATACAGACATATATATGTCTATGTTTATTTCCATAACTACCTGTATAGACATGAGTTCATACTGGTATCTCCAACTCCAACCCAGCACCACAAATTCATTCCTGCATTTCTCCTTTGCATAACTGCAGTTTCTTTTTCTAACGTGAGGCACCTGGCCATCATTATCTATATTTACTTATTTGTTCGAGCCTAGTATGGATGCAGTTGCAGAACCTGTACCTCTGTTAAGAAACGTTTACCAGGGCCAAGCGCGGTGGCTCACGCCTCTAATCCCAGCACTTTGGGAGGCCGAGGCAGGTGGATCACGAGGTCAAGAGATCGAGACCATCCTGGTCAACAAGGTGAAACCCCGTCTCTACTAAAAATACAAAAAATTAGCTGGGCATGGTGGTGCGTGCCTGTAATCCCAGCTACTTGGGAGGCTGAGGCAGGAAAATTGCTTGAACCAAGGAGGCAGAGGTTGCCATGAGCCGAGATCGCGCCATTGCACTCCAGCCTGGGTAACAAGAGCAAAACTCCATCTCAAAAAAAAAAAAGAAAGAAAGAAAGAAACGTTTACCAACCAGAGTACAGTGTTCCTATGCAGTTTTTTGTTTCTAGCTCAGTGAGTTATGTCATAAATTTGTAATACAGTTGGTGTTATTTGTCACAGTCCACATTCCATTCTGAGATCCCTTTGACATCCTCAATAGAGATTTATTTTTTGGCAAAGCTTGAAAAAAGTTCAGATTTTGTGATGTATTGTTCTATGGATTTTGACAAGTTTATAGACATACGTATCCACCATCACGGTACCATACAGAATAGTTTCATCACCCTAAAAATTCCCAAATGCAGGCCGGGCATGGTGGCTCAATCCTGTAATCCCAGCACTTTGGGAGGCCGAGGCGGGTGGATCACAAGGTCAAGAGATCGAGACCATCCTGGTCAACAAGGTGAAACCCCGTCTCTACTAAAAATACAAAAATTATCTGGGCATGGTGGCTACTCAGGAGGCTGAGGCAGGAGAATTGCCTGAACCCAGGAGGCGGAGGTTGCGGTGAGCCAAGATCGCGCCATTGCACTCAGCCTGGGTAACAAGAGCGAAACTCTGTCTCAAAAAAAAAAAATTCCCAAATGCAAGTCCGTTGCATTTGGAAATAGTCAATCTCTTCCTCAGTCTCTGGCAATCACTAATCTATTTTCTCTCCCCATAGTGTTGCTTTCTCCAGAATTTCATATAAATAGAATCATACAGTATGTACTCCCCAGATTATGATTACCAGAAAGTTTGGGAACCAATACTTTTGCTAATTCAATACTATCTGATGAATCACAACATCCACCTCATCACCAAACTGGGAATCAGTTTAAATTATTTGAGGGGCAAAAGCGTTTTCTTTTCCTTCAAAGAGAGATGAAAGAATACAAGAAAAGCTTTGCTATCCTGCTGACTTACTTTTTACTCCCGCTCCAGAATGTGGACTTCCACTCCCACCAATTTGAGTTATATTTGGTTCTAAACCAGTTTATTCCAGTTATAATGTGATTATAATAATCTAAGTACTTCTTATGTGAACCTTTGAAATATAGTGTAAAAAGATAAAATATTTTATCAAACAAAGTTGAGTGTTTCGGAATTACAGGTGTGAGCCACTGAGCCTGGCCCCCCCCTTTTTTTTTTTTTTTTTATGAGTAAATTGTTTGAATGTTTCAAATTTAGGAACACTTAACCAAAGATATACACATAGCAAATAAATTAAAAGATGCTGGGATTAATGCTATGTTTAAATATATAGAGTTGGTATGTCTTTTGGGGCGGCCTCCTACTCATATGTAGCTATGAGACAATTGAAATGAATATCTGATTAGTATCACTGAGAAGCTGAATTTTTAAACTTTGTGTTATATAAATTAAATTAAAAACCTGAAGCATAAAATATGTTTCTGTAAAAAACTATTATCTTTCTTACACATCTTAATTCAAACTACTAAAAATCGGGCATCTGAATTGAGATGCACTTTACATATAAAATGGACATTGAATTTTAAAAATTTAGTACAAAAAATGTAAAATATCTCAATTATTATTGTATATTGTTACATGTTACAATGTTATTCTTGTGGCTATATTGGATTAAATAAAATATATTGTTATAATTTAAAAAAAAAAAAGATGCTGCACATCATTAGTCATTAGGGAAACAAAACCACACTGAAATACTACTATGCAACCACTAGAATGGCTAAAATTAAAAAGACTGATCATACCAAATGTTAGTAAGGATGCAGAAAAACTGGAACCATCCTATACTGCTAGTGGGAATGCAAAATGCTACAACTACTTTGGAAAACAAAATTGGCTCAGCAGTTTCTTAAAAAGTTAGACATATACCTACTGTAAGATCCAGCCCATTCCACTTCCAGGTATTTGCCCAAGAAAAATGAAAATATATGTTCATACAAAGACTTAATTCACAAATGCTCACAGCAGCTTCAGTTCTAATAGCCAAAATCTACAAACAACCCAAATGTCTATCAGCAGATTAATGGATAAACAAATTAGGCAAATACATACAATGAAATATTACTCAGAAAGCTATCAGATGAATCTCAAATAATCAGGCTGAGTAAAAGAAACAAGACAAAATAGGAGGTGTCATGAAGGGAATGAAGAATCTCTTGGAGATAATAGATACGTTTGCCATCTTGATTGGTGTGATGGTTTTATGAGCACAATGTGTCAAAATTTGTCAAATTGTCGACTTTTTTTTTTTTAGTTTTTTTTTTTTTTTTTGAGACAGAGTCTCACCCTGTCATCCAGGCTGGAGGAGTACAACAGCACAATCTCAGCTCACTGCAACCTCCACCTCCGGGGTTCAAGTGATTCTCCTACCTCAGCCTCCAAGTAGCTGGAATTACAGGCATGCGCCACCATGCCTGGCTAATTTTGTATTTTTAGTAGAGATGGGGTTTCACCTTGTCGGTCAGGCTGGTCTTGAACTCTTGACCTCGGGTGATCTAGCCACTTTGGCCTCTCAAAGTGCTGGGATTACAGGCATGAGCCACCACAATCAGCCAAATTGTCCATTTTAAATATGCAACTTTGAATATGCCTTAAGAATTTTTTTAAATGAAATAAAAATTAAAAATGATACCTTTAAATGTCCACTTTAAATATGCTAATTATATTTCAATAAAAATATCTTAAAGTTTATGGTGTATCGATACATATCTATATCTATATATAGATATATATATATCTTTTGTGATTTCCTGCTGTAATTTTTTTATTCACCAACCAACTACAGGTCCCAATAGTGTCAAATGAGAGGGCTTCTACTCAACCTACCGGCCCCCCACTATCCTCACTAACCCTGGACAATGTCATCTATGCTGTTTGAAGGATGTCTGCTCTTCCCTGTCTAGAGAATTCTAGTGAGTATCTAGAGGTAATGAAATCTATACTGAATAAAACTAAATTAGCATTCCTTCTACTTCATATCCATTTTCATAAGGCAAGAGCTGTTTTATTGTAAATTCACTGATATAATGAGAATACTCTGGACAGTGCTTAGTAGAGTTCTATTTGCAATTTATTCTAAAGTTTATCCATTAATTACAGGCACAATGAGTAACAATCATTACTACTAATCATTAAAATAAACAGATGAAGCACTCAAATGTATAAACCTTTTATTTAAAATTAGACTCAAATACAAATTAAATAAATACAATACATAATAATAAGCCTTCATAAAACAGATCATAATCACTTTAAATCATTTACTAGTTCTACAACAAAATTAAAGGGAAATTTAAATACAGTCCAAAATCAAATTATTTTTAAACTCTTGTCAACATTAAAATTATTACAAAAGATTCAAAGAGATTTAATTAGAAAATGAACAAGGCCAGGTACAGTGGCTCATGCCTGTAATCCCAGCAGTTTGGGAGGCTGAGGTGGGTGGATCATGAGGTCAAGAGATCAAGACCATCCTGGCCAACATGGTAAAACCCTGTGTCTACCAAAAAACAAAAATTAGCTGGGCATGGTGGCACACACCTGTAATCCCAGCTACTTGGGAGGCTGAGGCAGCAGAATCACTTGAACCCATGGGGCAGGGGTTGCAATGAGTCGAGATTGTACCACTGCACTCCAGCCTGGCGACAGAATGAGACTCCATCTCAAGAAAAAAGAAAATGAACAAAACTACTACAGGATGATTTCTGCTATCCACTAAAATAAATAAGAATTAAAATTCAGTGTGATTTTCATTCATCCGCAGATAAAAAACACCTCATTTTAAAAAGACAATTATCTGTTTCTTTCCAAGGCTATGAGGACTAATTTATTTGACTTTTAACTTTAATTTGGCACAACAAGCTTGATCAGTAAAAGCAATACCATTAAAAAGGTTTAGAATGTTCCTTACAGATCCTTTCTGCTTCACTGCAGGAATAAGGTATCATATATTTAACATTTAAAACATTATATAATGACACAATAAATACCTTTTAAAGGTATGTGGCAAAATAAAAATATACTCTGGTTCAAGTTGGTGTTTGGAAAAAATAAAGATATGCATTAAACAATGAAGTTTCAGCCAGGCACGGTGGCTCACACCTGTAATCCCAGCACTTTGGGAGGCTGAAGCAGGTGGATCACTTGACATCAGGAGTTCGAGATCAGCCTGGACAACAGTGAAACCCCATCTCTACTTAAAATACAAAAAAATTAGCCGGGCGTTATGGTGCACACCTGTAATCCCAGCTACTGGGGAAGCTGAGGCAGGAGAATCGTTTGTACCAGGGAGGTGGAGGTTGCAAAGAGCCAAGATCACACCATTGCACTCCTGCCTGGGTAACAAGAGCGAAACTCCATCTCAAAAAAAAAAAAGAAGTTTCTTCTTTCCTTTATGATGGGAAAATGATCATATTCACTCTATTTTTAATTTTTACTGTCTTAATTCTCCAGAAAAAAAAGTTTTATGTTTTTATTATCAATGTTATATATCCAATTCTAAGACTTTGCACACACCTGTGTTCTCCTGAAATTATTGGTAAAAAGTAGAACTAGACTTGTCTTAAGTAGATAACAGGAAAACAACTATTATGGTGTTTGTATACAAAAAATAATCCAAAACAGATAAAAACATACACTCAAGATGGCACCCATATTATTTAAGAATAAAGTTATTTACATATATACTAACAATTATATGACTAAATAAATGAACATTTTCCTAAAACATGCATATTGTCAAGCCTTTTATAATTAAACTTATAAAGCCAACTTGCATATCAACTGTCATAAGAGCTTTCTGCACACCAAGAGAGTTAAAATTTTAACCTCTATTGTTCTATAAAACTAAAAATAAAATGCAATCAAACTCAGCAGTTCTTTATAAAATTTTATATATCTCAGCAACCCGTTATACTGTCTGTCATCAAATAAATTAACTCTAAAATGTAGTCATTCTTTCCAGAATTTTTGTGTTTTTAGAGAGGCTGGTCTTGAACTCCTGACCTCAAGTGATCCACCGGCCTTGGCCTCCAAAAGCACTAGGATTACAGTCATCAACCACCACACCCAATATCTTTTCTATAACTTTAATTTCAACTATTGCTCTTTTGAAACCATTTTAATAAGTCACAGTTCTTGGAGAAAATTCACTGAGGGGAAGGAATTATTTTCTACAAGCAACTCTGTCATGAGTGATAGAGTTGTAGCTCTCTTATAAGTTTTTTTCCTCTTTCAAAGAGAATGAAAAATATGCAGAGATTTCCTTACTGACTAAATGTAAAGGTTAAGAGGATATAATAAAATTTTGGACTACAGTAGCATACAGGTTTTCAGTTTATTTACTACTAACTAGCTATGACCTTAGACAAGTCATTTAACATGCTGTACTTTAGTTTCATCTTTGAAACAAAGAGATTCAAACACAAATATCTTAAGCTTCCTTCCAACTCTCACATGGTATGATTCTGTGCTTCTGCAGGAATTCTTAATTGATAAGCTGAATCTTCCATAAATCAAGAGAACTGATATGTACTGAAATAGCACAGCTAAACCAAGCCTCTCCTTGTCAGAAAAAAAACACAAAGACCATGTTCAAAGCTCAACTTCCCAAACCTTACTAGACCCATTCCCTCTTCAGCCAGACCAAAGAATAGCCCGTAGAGTTGAAACCAAATATCTTAATTATATAAAATCACTTTAAAAGTATAATGTAAACCCATTAAATTTATTAAGTCTATGCCAGTTTTCCTACATTCTAATTTACATTATTTTCATTTTATCTACATTCAAGATAATATGTACAATTAAGGAAGGGTCTATTTAACATTCTTACACTTCTAAACACTAGTAAAAGTTAAATAAATACAGATGAAGAAAAGAATATTATTAATTACCACATTCTGCCAAATTTTTAATAAAAGTATGCTAAGTACAATTTATAGGTTAGAAAAAGAAGGCAAAGGTAAAAAAGCAAATCCTGCTGACAAATGCTGATGATCAAATGAATTTAGTTGTGTTTTGCAATTACTTTAACAAGACAGGAGGGAGAAGATGTTAGCAGAAACCTAGTTAGGCAATACTGAACCATGACATTCCAGCAGCTTTTATGAAAAACGAATGTATAAAGTAGTATTTTTACTAGTGCAGTGCAAATTGGTTTTCTTTGTCTAACAATGGACAGCAAGTGAGGCACTTAACTGTAAAATAGAAAAATAGGGTATATTTAAGAAGACATCCAAAATCATTCAGAAAAGATAATTAGCACTATTGAAAAAGTTAGAAATTCCATTTTTATTTAATATGCATTCAATGTTTCACATGTTTCACTAAGGAAAATCCTTCTGAATGTAAGATTACTGTTTTATTTATAATATAAGAAACAGAAAACATTTCCTTTTCAAGGAATTCTGGATCTCTAAGAATAAAATCCGAGTCTTCTCAACCTGAGTGCTACATAATTATAAACAGAGAAAAATACATGTTACCATACAGGAGAAATGTTATGACTATCAACAAATACCATGAGCTGGGAGCAGTGGCTCCTGCTTGTAATCCCACATACTCAAGAGGCTGAAGCAGGAGAATCACTTGAGCCAGGAGTTCAAGGTCAGAGTGAACTATGATCATGGCACCACACCAACAGAGCCAGACTCCGTCTCTTTAAAAAACAACAACAAATGCCACATACCATGTGATCCTAAACTTTATTCTTGAAGGATCAGATGTTTTTATTTTATGTAACTTCAAAGAAGGGCACCCAATGACCACAACAGAATAATTAATAGATATTTAGCACCTAAATTTAGAGATGACTTATGTATTGCCATAGCCTTAAATACTTGTATGTCTATAAGTTGGGGGAAACCAAATACATGTTGTTCAATGTCATTATTCTTCATTACAAATGCATCTACCTAGAATATTCAAACACAATCTTATTTCTCCCTGAAGTTGCAGACATATATATCTTTTTAACAAGTAAAGTGAGGTTTATTATTTCTTAAGCATCATTAAATTGTCTTCTGAATGTGGCACTTTTTCAGATTAGACAAAAAGCAGTTCCTAAAAAGTCATTCATATTCGACCACTAGTATTATTTTAAATGTCCTTCACTATGGGACAGAGGTCAAAACTGAAGTGAACAGCTGTGGACCTTCTGCTGAAATACATTAGGAACAGAGGAGATGAACATACATTAATTTCTGACAATATATTGGCACATAAATGCTTATCTATAGGGTGAAAAAGCACTTAATGAAAGGATACATATTTGCCATGACAGTATTTCAAACGAATGGAGACTAGTGTTTCCTTTCTTCATATCTAAGTGAAATATCCTTGTGTAACCTAAGTAAACTTGATTTTAATCTTGGATAGAACACTTTACTTCATATGTTAAAACTGATGGCCAGGTGCGGTGGCTCACACCTGTAATCCCAGCACTTTGTAGGCCAAGGCAGGCGGATCAAGACCATCCTGGCCAATATGGTGAAACCCCATCTCTATTAAAAATACAAAAATTAGCTGGGCATGGTGGCACACACCTGTAGTCCCAGCTACTTCAAAAGCTGAGACAGGGGACTCACTTGAATCCAGGAGGCAGAGGTTGCAGTGAGCTGAGATCATGCCACTGCGCTTTATTCTGGTGACAGAGCGAGACTCCATTTCAAAAACAAACAAATAAAAATTAATGCATGACATTAACTGAAGTTTTCCATGAGACAATGTAATCATCCCCACTGAGAAATCCTATAATCCTATCTTTTCTTCCTTAATTTGCTTATAGAAAGGCTTTCCTTGGCTCAGAAAGGAAGAAAAAAGGCTTTTAAAAAACATTTTTACACCAAGAAGACTGGCAAATTTCAATAGTTTGCAATCCTCACATTTCTCATTTATATTTACGTTATCAAATTTCATTCCTTACTATATAATTAATTTTCTCAGATACGGAAGGGCAAAAATTCATATAGTTAAGGTAATTTTTTCTATTTTCTTTAATATATTCTAACTTACTTTTGAAAGTAAATGGGTACATGAAAGAAACAGGAAATTGCTGATGCAATTTAGCGAAGAAATAAAGTGCATATAGCTTTCGATATAAATAGTTTGGTACATTACAGCTAAGCAAAAAGCTGTATGTACAAAATCAAAATGAAAACTCAGCTCAATACCTAGAATCTGAAAAATATGAGACACGAATACAAATCCTATATAAATAGTAACAAAATTAGGGTTAGGGAGTATTCCCCTCCAAAGCCAACTGAAAGTATTTTTTTTTTTTTGAGACTGCGTTTTGCTCTTGTTACCCAGGCTGGAGTGCAATGGCACGATCTCGGCTCACCGCAACCTTTGCCTCCTGGGTTCAGGCAATTCTCCTGCCTCAGCCTCCTGAGTAACTGGGATTACAGGCACGCACCACCATGCCCAGCTAATTTTTTGTATTTTTAGTAGAGACAGGGTTTCACCATGTTGACCAGGATGGTCTCGATCTCTCGACCTCGTGATCCACCCGTCTCGGCCTCCCAAAGTGCTGGGATTATAGGCTTGAGCCACCGCGCTCGGCAACTGAAAGTATTTTGAAGAAAAGTTAAGTGGATATCTGCTTCCCAAAAGACCATGACATTCTACACAGTAATACCAACATGCAGTACCTGAAATGTAGAATCACATTCTGACTGCTGCCCTTGAACTTCTGCATTTAATTTAGAATTCTCTTGTGTCTGGCTAATTTCACCTTGCAAAGTAGGAGGAATGCCATGACTCTCATCTACAGAAGCACCATCACACAAGGTATCTAACTGTACTGGGAAACAAGCAATGTGAAGTTTACTATCTCCTGTCTCTTCATCGGAATTGGTCCTTTCATCAGCATCTTCTAGCTGTTGAACTGAAGTTAAATATTGTTCAAGCAGACTATTGTCCTGCTCATTATTTGAGCTTTCCTTATTCCATGCACCATGTTCTTCACTAACATCCCCTAAATCTGATTCTTTGCCATATCTAACTGTGTCAATGGAATTCCCCATTATGGAGCTTTCACTGCCTTCTGTGGAACTTTTTTCAAAATCCAAAGAATCCTGCAAAGAGTGAACTTGTTCTGCTAGAGAGGAATGAAAACCAGAGTCTGGAAAATCTGGTAAGGATTTCTCTTGAGGAGCTACATCAGAAGCAGTGAACCAATCAGCATTTTGATCAGAAGAGGACTCCTCCTGGCTTTGGGTACATAATGGAGGTTTAGATGGCACAAGAGTACTTGATAGAGGAGGAACATCAGTATGGCAGGAACTTAGATGCTGGTCCACTGTCTGTTGCCAAACCTGTAGAGACCTTACCTATAAACCAGAAAATACAGTCGTGTTATAAAACAAAAAGTGTTTGGGTTTGTTTGTTTTTGGTGACACTCTGTCACCCAGGCTGGAGTACAGTGGCATGATCATGGCTCATTGCAGTCTCAACCTCCTGGGCTCAAATGATCCTCCCACCTCTGCCTCCTAAGTAGCTGGGACTTCAGGCGTCTATCACCATGTCTGGCTAATTAAAAAAATTTTTTTTGTAGAGATGGGGGTCTCACTTTGTTGCCCAGGATGGTCTTGAACTCCTGGGCTCAAGCAATCCTCCGGCCTCAGCCTCTCAAGTGCTGAGATTACAAGCATAAGCCACCGCACCCCACCTGTCTATTTTACAAGTTTCCTTTGAGATCTTTTTGTCCAGTAGTCACGAAGTTGGCAAATAGTAGAACTGGAGCTAGAAGCTGCTGACTCCTTTTATCTTTTCCATAGCACCCCAAGCCTAAACCACACTGGCACAAATAGTACATGTTCCTGGTAACAAAAGGCCCTCACCCGAAGTACGGATGGGCGAAAGCAATTCTCTTGCTTCTACTAGAAAAACAGCCAGAAGCACAACAGTACATGTCTAGCTAAGGGGTCAATCATGCATTCAGTATATAATGAGATCTACTCAATAAGACAGATTAGAGCCCTTGATAGAAGTAGATCCTGTAAAATAAGTCTCATTTTAGATACCCAGGTAGAGATTAGAGTTTTAAAATATTATCTAACAATACAGTATATGCAACTTGCCAAAATACCTAAAAATATATCAAATTTTTGATAATATGACCTCTACATCTCTAAAGTATAACAAAAATTCCAAAATTTTACTGTAAAAACTGCAGACAAGAAAGCAATATGTACAGTTTTTAGTTTCCTTTTGACCTCCCTCCAAGGTAATTACTGACAGCAACTTCGTGCATATCCTTCCAGACTCTTTTCTAGGCAGTATTTTCAAATACACAGGGAAACTGGACAAACTAGTGTGTGTCTGTAGTCCCAGCTACTCGGGAGGCTGCAGCAGAAGGATCACTTGAGGAGTTCAAGGCTGTAGTGCGCTAGTGCTGTTTTTTCACTAACCAGTATTATTTTGGAGATTTTTCCATGTCGGTCCATACTATTGCCTTATTCTTTTTAACTGTTCCATGGTATTCCACAGTATTATCATTCTATAGTTTAACCATTCCTCTATTGTTGGTAACAACAAAACCTTACAAATCAGTAATTATTTTTTCATTTGATAGGTCAAATCCTATTATAACAAATTTGGCCAGGTGATGTGGCTCACTTTGGGAGGCTGAGGAGGGAAGACTGCTTGAGCCCAGGAGTTTGAGACCAGCCTGGGCAATACAGCAAGACCCTATTTCTATAAAAAAAAAAGAAATGAAAATTTTATTTAAAATATTCCCAAGAAATTATCATCAGTAAGTATTCGATATGATACAATGCTAGTCAAACCAATTGCCTAAATTTTCCCTAAAGTGTGGTGTTATAGGATTCAAACACTCTCCTATCGTTTTGTATACTTTTTAGGATATGTATATTGTAGCCATATGCCGTCTTAATCACCTTTCACTCAAATATTCCCAAAAGATAGATAGCTACATAAAACTTCAAACTGGGGTTGCTGTATCTATTGGAAAGCCGTAACAGCCTTCAATTAAGCCACTTTCCTCCTGCTTTATATTATTTTTTCTTTCTTGTCAAAATTGTCAGAATGTTTTTCTTCAGATTAAATAAAATGCAACAAAATTCACTGTCCTGGCCTGGTGCGGTGGCTCACGCCTGTAACCCCGGCACTCTGGGAGGCCAAGGTGGGTGGATCACTTGAGGTCAGGAGTTCAAGACCAGCCTGACCAACATGGAGAAGCCCTATCTCGACTAAAAATACAAAATTAGCTGGGCATGGTGGTGCAGGCCTGTAATCCCAGCTACTCAGGAGGCTGAGGCAGGAGAATCGCTTGAACCCAGAAGGCAGAGGTTGTGGTAAGGTGAGACTGTGCCATTGCACTCTAGCCTGGGCAACAAAGGCAAAACTCCGTCTCAAAAAAAAAAAAATTTTCACTGTCCTAGTTTAGAGTTAGTGGCAAAGAACACAAACCATACCCTTCACCTTGAACAAGAGTGCTTAATACAACTGAGTACTCTATGATTATGTCAATGAATGTGGAATTTTTATTTGATCATATATGAGGTAAATCAGGAGGAGGGTGTTTACCTGGTTCCAAAGAAATCTGAAAGCTTCTTCTTGTACAAATTTTTTAATACGTTCTTCATCTCTTTCTTTTCGTAACCTACAATAATTCCAAACACAGTACTGACGTGAGGAAGAGTGCTTGCGTTGACTCATACTTCCTGTTACAACTAACAAATGTGTGCATTGTAAAGAGATTAATAATCTAAGTCATCTTTCCCACTTTCACAATATCTAAATTAAAACCTTATTTTATTTTCATTTTTTTTTACTTCAGAATCAAAATGGAACAGTTTTGTAAGTGACATCATAAACCTTAATTTTGAACTGTGACTCAAAGTAGAAGCCGAATGAGATATGACTGAAATTCAGGTATTAGTTCTACAAATTTCCAGTCATAAAGAATAAAATGTTAAAATGCTCTTTATCTGGCTTCAATTTCTCAGCCAAACGTACCAAAGGCACAGAAAGTGCAAAAAGGAGTGGTTACCCAAAGTATCCAAAACAATGAAGGGTCACACTTAGGTACTCATGATCACAGCCCGAAACACTCTCTCCTAAAGACTAATTCCATCAAACTTCACTTTTCTGTTTGCCCAGGTCTCTGATCTAATGCTTACTAACAAGAGACCTCCCATCCATTACTCCTCATTCATTAAAGTCTTAGCTCTGGACTCACTGCTGTTCTCTCCATACTTAGGGTTTTCACAAACTCAGGCTCCTCCTTTAGTGATCCATTATCACCCAAACTGTCAACAGCATTTTGTTTCATACCTCTGACCCAATTATCCACTTTCTATAGCCCCTCAAGCCTTTCTCCTATGCCATCTAGAGCTTTGAATTATAATCAGCAAACTCCCTTACATATTTCACCTCTCTCTAAACTTTTCCTTGTCCAAAGCAGATCCACTTCTGAGAGCACTATAGCCCTCTAAGTGGAAGCTATTTCTCCCTCTCATTCATCAGGGTTGGAAGATTGCTTCTCACTGCTGTTTTCAAATGATTCTTCATCTCCCTCCTTTGACTCCTGCCATCCTGCAATTTCCCAAAATTCTTTGTCAAGTACTGTCCTCTCACCCTCTGCTCCCATTCACTGAAGTCTCAGCACCAGGCTTTTTCTTTGCCCCATTCCTGTCATCATTTTTGGAGACCTCAACATTCACACGGATGCGCTAACAATAATTCACCCAGTGTCAGTCACCCATTGTCATAGTCTCACCCTAGGCCAAATCATTTGACAGCACCACTTTCAGAAATGCTTCTAAACACCCAACACCAACCACTACTTCCTAACCTCACAGTTCACTTGCTGTTGTACCCCACCGCACCACTCTAGACCTCCAGTCTAATGATCCTTCTCTTCTGCCTTCACTTCCCTCTTACCTCATTTAAAATTCCACCCAGGCCAGACACAGTGGGTCACACCTGCAATCCCAGCAGTTTGGGAGGCCGAGGTGGGAGGATCACCTAAGGTCAGGAGTTTGTCAGCAGCCTGGTCTACATGGTGAAACCTCACCTCTAATAAAAACGCAAAAAAAAAAAAAAAATTTAGCCAGGCATGGTGCCAGATGCCTGTAATCCCAGTTACTCGGGAGGCTGAGGCAGGAGAATCACTTGAATCTGGGAGGCAGAGGTTGCAATGAGCCGAGATAGCGCCACTGCACTCCAGCCTGGGTGACAAGAGTGAGACTCCATCTCAAAAAAATTTTGAAAAAATAAAAATAAGTAACATTTTAGCCAGCAAGGTGACTCACACCTGTAATCCCAGAACTTTCAGAGGCTGAGGCAGGATTGCTTTTGCCCAGGAGTTCAAGACTAGCCTGGGCAACACAGACTTCATCTCCAAAAAAAAATTTTTTTTAATTAGCTAGGCATGGTGGTACATGCATATAGTCCCAGCTACTTGGGAGCCTGAAGTGAGAGAATCACTTGAACTCAAAAATTCAGGTTACAGTGAGCTATGATATGCCACTACACTCTGGCCTCAGTAACAGAGCAAGACCCTGTCTCAAAAAATATAAAATCTAAGATCTATCATTAGTACTCCCTCTGAAATACCTTTGCTCTCTTGCCCTTCCCTCACTCTCTCTGCAATATCACCTAGGGAAAAAAAAAAATTTCTGGCTTAACCAAAGGAACCATGCCTGAATCAGAAGAGAATAGCTAAGAATTGCTGATGAAAATCATACAACCTGATCTATTGCTTTGTACTTTAAGTGTTTTCTCACATTATCCAGCAACCTTCCTCCATTTTCCTCATAAGGTCATCTTTAAGATGACCACCTCACACCTCATACTTCTCTCCTTACACCTCCTTCACTCCTCTTCTACTTATTTGCAGGTGTTGACCACATCTTACACATTATTGAAAAAGAAGCAGCATCAGACAGGACTTTTTCCCATCTCTACCATCAAACCTACTACCTTACCTGCTCCTGCTCCTATCTCAGGCCACTTCCTCTGCTTCAATGCTGCATTTCTTCTTCTCTTACCTTCTCAAGAACTGCAATTCTGCTCTTCCTCTGCTTTCTTTTTTTTTTTTTTTTGGCTGCACCATCAGTGTTTCCCTCCTTATTTATTCATTCGATCAACACATGAACACATTCTATATCTCCTCTCTAAAAAATATTTCTTCAGTCTAGATTCTCCTTAAGGAACCACTGACTCTCTTCTCCACAAAACAACTCTTTCCAAGAAGTGGCTACACTCATCCTTCAAACTCTTTACCTCTCATTCACTATTCAACCCATCCCAAAATGGCCTTCATCCCCCTACACCACTGAAGCTGCTCTTGGGAAGGTCCTTGTGCAGTAAAGGATTAACTCAGCAGGATTGGGATGTTCCTTTTTTTTTTTGAGACAGCATCTCACTCTGTTTCCCAGGATGGATGGAGAGCAGTGACATGATCTCGGCTCACTGCAACCTCCACCTCCCAGGTTCAAGTGATCCTCCTGCCTCAGCCCCCCAGAAGTTGGGATTACAGGCACTCCCGGCCACGTCTGGCTAATTTTTTTGTATTTTTAGTAGAGATGGGGTTTCACCATGTAGGTCAGGCTGGTCTTGAACTCCTGACCTCAGGTGATCCACCCACTGGCCTCCCAAAGTGCTGGGAATACAGGCATGAGCCACCGTGCCTGGAGGCAGGACTGGGATGTTCAACACTGTACATTGCAAAGATAGGACTGGCCCTTGACTGACTCCTGGGAGATAATCTCCAAGCCCTTGGAATATCCTACCTGAAAAAGAATATCTTTGTACACCTGGAGTCTTCTTGGTCCACCTCAGATAGTTTAGGCAATCAATGATTTCTAGTCAACATCTGTTTTGTCCACCTGGGCCTTGGGCCATGGAGTATCAGTGTGACCTCTATGGGGCCTGAGGTCTGAGTAATTAAGATCAGTCACATGGGTACTCGAAACCTATGTGACTGAGCCCCAATAAAAACCTGGACACCAAAGCTGAGGTGACTTCCACCAGTTGGCAATACTTCTTACGTGTTATCATACATCATTGCTGAGAGAACTAAGCCCTGTCTGTACAACTCCCCTGGGAGAGAACAACTGGAAGCTTGCACCTCATCTCTCCTGGACTCTGCCCTAGGCACCTTTTTTCTTTACTGATTTTAATCTGTATCCTTTTGCTGTAATGAACAATAATGATAAACAGAATAATATTTTCCCAAGTTCTGTGAGTCCTTTTAGCAAATCATCCAACCTGAGGACAGTCTGGAAAATCACCAACACAGTCACCAATAACCTCCAACTTCCAAGTCTAATGCCCGTTTCCTTCCTATGGTACTGCTCATCTCTCCTGAAACACTTTCTCCTGTTGAAGGTGGAACTCTCCTAGTTTTCCTACCACTGTGGCTGTCCCTTCTCAGTATCCTTTGCTGGCTCTTTCTCTTCTACCTAATATCAGTAAATATTACTAGTTGCAATATTAACGAAATCCTAATTTACCTGGGTTAGCAGTTAGTAAAACATATGCGCCATGGGATTAAGGAATAATTCCTATTGTAGTCCTGTAGAATTTTAGTTCCTTCCGAATCCCTGCTATTTTCTTTAATTCTTATGTCATGTACCAAATTCCATGTAGACTTCATCATCTCTCTTTTTTTTTTTTTTTTTTGAGATGGAGTTTCACTGTTGTTACCCTGGCTGGAGTGCAATGGCACGATCTCAGCTCACCGCAACCTCTGCCTCCTGGGTTCAAGCAATTCTCCTGCCTTAGCCTCCCGAGTAGCTGGGACTACAGGTGCGTGCCACCATGCCCAGCTAATTTTTGTGGTTTTAGTAGAGACGGGGTTTCACCTTGTTGACCAGGATGGTCTCGATCTCTTGACCTCATGATCCACCCGCCTCGGCCTCCCAAAGTGCTGGGATTATAGGCATAGCCACCAAGCCCAGCCGGCATCTTCTCATTTTTATACTTAGTTTTTCTACATTTTCTGTACCTTTCTATGTTTAGAATTATAGATCCCTATAAAGTTCATGTTCATTGAACATTTATTGCTACACTGCATCTATGTATCAAGTGCTTTGCTGGGGATGGAGATGCAGCAGATAGAGCAAACAGTCTCTGCTCTCCAGATGCTTTCAGTACACTGTAGGAGACAAGCAAACCAATAGTGGCTTCATGGTGTGAAAAGTGTTATAATTACAGAAGCACAGTGTTCTCAATCAACTGTAAGACTCTGACAGCCCCAAACCAACAAACCAGTGTATCAACAGCACTTCTGACCCACCTCTTTATTTCATCAGTTAGGCAGACAATGTGCTCCTGCATTCTGCGCAGCCGGATTTCATAACGCACATCTTTGGCTCGAGGGTTGTAGTTCCTGGCATAAAAGCCCCGCCAGCAGGCCTGAAGCTTGGTGGCTGCATCATTTAATTTCTGAAGAGCAACTTTATCTTGTCCCAAAGCAGCAGATCTCCGGGTTAAAATCATGCAGGGAAGTTTCTCTGAAGTTGCTTGAGATATGGTTTCTTTATTTTCTGGTTGTATATGGGAGACACTGTGTCCAGCTGACTCAGGAAAAAATGTAAGACTGTGGTTATCATCCTTCGAGACAGAGCTGATTGTCGTTGGCTCAGGACAAGGAGAAAGCCCAGCTGTCTCATTTACCTCCGTACTGATCTCACTTTTCATCATGTGAACCAAATTCTCATTTGCAGCCCATAAAGGCATTTCTTCTTCCTTATCCAATACCTGGCTTTCCAGTCCTTTCACAGATTCATCTGCAACACCATCATCTTCTAGGCCCAAGTTAATGCCTTGCAGCCTCAGCTCAACTGTAGGTGATACTGGAGACAGTCCTGATGCAACTGGCATGAAAGTAGACTCTGAAGAGAGAAGACTACAATTTAACTTGTCCTCATCTGTCTGTATGTCTTCCAGGTGCAGCTCATTTCGAGAATATCTTGTAGTATGTACAGAGGCTGGAAAATTATTCTTAACCGCAAATAACTGATCATCATTACTGCTTATCCCAACCCAAGTATTGACTTGAATGACGGGTTCTAGAAGAATCAACAGAGTGCCATTTAAACCACTAAATATTTACATTTTAGTTATGTCCTGTTAATGAAATCTAATCCTTGAAATAGAGTAGAATGAAATAAAATGCCCTCAGTGATTTCTTCCAATATGCCTAAAACATCAAACCAAACCTTTTTAAGAAAATGAATTCTTGTGATAATCATAAGAATAATCAAAGCATCAGGTCTATACAAATGGTAGCAGTCCTTGAAATGTTTCTTAAAATTGGAAATACAGTAATTATAATATACATACATAATACATACATATATGTAAGATCTAAATGATTACTGAAACTTTTTGTTACTTAGCAAACTAACAAAAAATTATGAAAATATGCACCTTTTTCTGCTTCATGATACCCAACAAATTAAACGACTTGGAGAAAAGGGATCAGAGATAAATTAATTTCTTACCACTTTCCTGGGATATCTGGCAATCTTGAACAGGACTTGAATGCTCAGGAATAAGGGATGCCCTGGTTTCAACAGGAACAAGAGGAGACAACTCTTCATTTTGGCTTTGGTTCATCAACTGCCTCTGGTGAAACCTAAAAATCAATAACATCTGGTCTGATTTAACACAAACCAAAAAAAGGAAGATTTCGGCTTCCCAGGTAACAATGTCAAAAAGGTAGAAGTTTGCAATTTCTCAAAGTAGGCACTTTAATCACTGTCAAATTATAAAGCCTCATTTGAAAGAACTGGATAAAGAAGGTTAAGAAACTCATTTTTTAATTGCAAAGACAGACATCCTCCTATGCACACATACAAAAACATTTAAAGGCAGGATCTCTGATAAAGTAAATATTAAATGCTTCTGGCAATACTTTTTCTCTTTTTTTCACTGTACCTTTTAAAGGCAGATATCCCTCATAATGTAAGTATTCAGAAATCCACATGAAACACCTACATTAAAGAACAAATAAGTTGGGCATGGTGGTGCACACCTGTAATCCCAGCACTTTGGGAGGCCAATGCAGGTGGATCGCTGAAGCTCTGGAGTTTGAGAACAGCCTGGGCAACATGATGAAACCCCATCTCTAAAATATTATAAAACATTAGCCAGAGTGTGGTGGTGCGTGCCTATAGTCCCAGCTACTTGGAGGTCTGAAGTAGAAGGATCTTTTGAGCCCAGGAGACTGAAGATGCAGTAAGCTGAGATCACACTGTGCTCCAGCCTGGATGACAAAGTGAGCCCAAACGCAGTGGCTTATGCCTGTAATCCCAGCACTTTAGGAGGCCAAGGCAGGTAGATCACCTGAGGTTAGGAGTTCAAGACCAGCCTGGCTAACATGGCGAAATCCCGTCTCTACTAAAAATACAAAAATTAGCTGGGTGTGGTGGCACACGCCTGTAATTCCAGCTACTCGGGAGGCTGAGACATGAGAATCGCTTGAACCAGGAGGTGAAGGTTGCAGTGAGCCAAGATCACACCATTGCACTCCAGTCTGGTGACTGAGTGACACTCTGTCTCAATTAAAAAAAAAAGAACAGCCAGGCGTGGTGGCTCAAACCTGTAATCCCAGCACTTTGGGAGGCCGAGGCAGGTGGATCACAAGGTCAAGAGATCGAGACCATCCTGGTCAACATGGTGAAACCCCATCTCTACTAAAAATACAAAAAATTAGCTGGGCATGGTGGCACGTTGCCTGTAATCCCAGCTACTCAGGAGGCTGAGGCAGGAGAATTGTCTGAACCCAGGAGGCGGAGGTTGTGGCGAGCTGAGATTGCACCATTGCACTCCAGCCTGGGTAACAAGAGCGAAACTCCATCTCAAAAAAAAAAAAAAAAAGAACAAATACATTTTTTAAGAATCCCATCCCATTTCCTGGCCAGATATAGTAGCTCATACCTATAATCCTAGCACTTTAGGAGGCCAAGGCAGGAGAATTGCTTGAAGCCAAGAACTTAAGATCAGCCTGAGGAACAAAGTGAGACCCTATCTCTACAAAAAACTAGGCAAGCATGGTGGCATACACCTGTAGTTGCAGCTGCAGTGAGTTATGATTGTACAGCTGTACTCACAGACCAAGAGACCAAGACCCTGTCTTTAAAACAAAACAAAACAAAAAAACAACTCTCCATTCCCCTGTGCCATATTGTTTGGCTGTCTGCAGTGCACAGTTCAGCTTCCCTGCAGGAATTGCTACAGTGACAACGGGACTGATTATCCAGAAATATGGCCTATTGCACTTGCCTTGGGCCTACTAACACCATAGCAGAGACTCAGGTATTTTAACTTGTGAAATCATCAGCTGTTAGAAATAAATGGGCTTACCTCTGTTTGCTCAAAATCTTCTCTAGTTTGGCATCCTCTGCAGTTTGAAGACCTAGTGCAGAAGTGAGGGGGCAGACTGTGGCCAGATACTGGACAAGCTGGATGTGTTGGCCAGGCCGATATGCCCTCCCCTTGCCTTGACTATAGAGCCATTCAGCTTTCAAGCTGGAATTGAGGAACATAAAGAAGACGAGACGGCACAAGTCAAGTCAACACATATTTTCAGGCAATAATGATCTTCCTTCTTAACTTTCCTTTATAGCACCACTGGATGCTTTTCATAAATAAAATTCACTCAAGTTTTTCTTTTTTTTTTTGAGACGGAGTTTCTCTCTTGTTACCCCGGCTGGAGTGCAATGGCGCAATCTTGGCTCACCGCAACCTCCGCCCCCTGGGTTCAGGCAATTCTCCTGCCTCAGCCTCCTGAGTAGCTGGGATTACAGGCACACGCCACCATGCCCAGCTAATTTTTTTTATTTTCAGTGGAGACGGGGTTTCACCATGATGACCAGGATGGTCTCAATCTCTTGACCTCGTGATCCACCCGCCTCGGCCTCCCAAAGTGCTGGGATTACAGGCTTGAGCCACCGCGCCCGGCTTTTTTTTTAATCACTCATTCTGACTCATATTCCTCATTCTATGTTTTAAACCCTTTTTCTTGCTTAGGGCACTTCCATAGAGCTTCCACTAATGGTGACAAATATTTTTTAATCATTTTCAAGAAAGCAATGAGTATTCTCTTCATTCACTCTGTCAAACTGAAATGCCTAAATAGATCATCTGCATTTAAATCCATTAGTTCATAATGACAGTTAAAAAAAAAAAAGTAGCCAGGCATGGTGGCATGTGCCTGTAATCTCAGCTACTCATGGTGGCTCACACCTGTACTTTGGGAGGCCAAGGCCTCCCAAATCACAAGGTCAGGAGATCAAGACCATCCTGGCTAACACAGTGAAACCCTGTCTCTACTAAAAATACAAAAAAATTAGCCAGGCATGGTGGCAGGCACCTGTGGTCCCAACTGCTCGAGAGGCTGAGGCAGGAGAATCGCTTGAACCCAGGAGGTGGAGGTTGCAGTGAGCCGAGATCGAGCCACTGAACTCCAGCCTGGGCAACAGAGCGAGACTCCATCTTGAAGAAAAAAAAAAGGGGATATTAGCTAGGTGCAGTGGCTCATATCTGTAATCTCAGCATTTTGGGAGGCTGAGGAGGGAGGATCTAATGAGCCCAGGAGTTCCAGACCTGACTGGGAAACATAGCAAAATCCCATCTCTACAAAAAAAGTTTTAAAAATTAAGCAGGCTAATGTTTTTTGGTGGCATGCACCTGTAGTCCCAGCTACTTGGGAGGCTGAGGTAGAAGAATGGCTTGAGCCTGGGAGGTTGAGGCTGCAGTAAGCTGTGACCATGTCATTGCACTCCAGCCTAGACATTAGTGCGATACCCCATCTCTAAAAACTAAAAATAATTTCTAGCACTAGGAATTTCTCCTTAAATAAATAATTTTAAAAAGGAATATTAACTTTCTCCAAAGTTCTGCTCCCATAAGATCTCTAACTAAGCAACAGAGTTATAGCTTTGGGCAAGGTCCTGTCAACAGTAAAATAGAGCTCTGAACACATTCAGAAAGAACTCCAAACACTGAGGTGCTACACAAAGATGCTCAACTCCCCACAGGTGTGCTTAACTCTGAGAAACTACCCAGCCAAAGCAACCACAAGGTTGGGTTACTGCTCAGGTTACTCTTGGGTGACGCACTCAAATCAAGATCCAGCTACCTGACATTATCAAAGAATGTAGGATACATTTCACAGTGAAGAATTTTAACTTGGATGTTCTTAGCAAATAACATCCAGGATGGGCAGACTTTAAAATCTGAAAATTCCCTCCTGTCCTTCAGGGCAATTCTCAAATGTTGACCAGGAAAATATTTTGAACACTGTTCAGGCCAAACACCGATTTTTAAGGCAATAGCTCTCCCTTAGAATAATGTCTCCTTCCTGAACAGAATACTTCCAGAGTTGTTTTAAAGCATGGGAGCACCGCTGACAGACTACAACTGTAACAGCATTTCATCTCTAGTACAGCATCAACCATCTAGGTTCCTTAGTTTGAGTGTAACTCTATCCATTCTTTTCTTTTCTTTTTTTCTTTTTTTTTTTTTTTTGCGACAGAGTTTTGCTCTTGTTGCCTAGGCTGAAGTGCAATGGTGCAATTTTGGCTTACTACAACCTCCGCCTCCTGGGTTCAAGTGAATCTCCTGCCTCAGCCTTCCAAGTAGCTGAAATTACAGGCATGCGCTACCATACATGGCTAATTTTGCATTTTTAGTAGAGATGGGGTTTATCCATGTTGGTTAGGCTGGTCTCAAACTCTGGACCTCAAGTGATCCACCTGCCTCAGCCTCCCAAAGTACTAGGATTACAGGTGTGAACCATTAAAAAACGTGCCCGGTCTTTTTTTTTTTATTAGAACTGCATCCATTCTTGTACTGCCTAACAAGCCATTATGAACAGGGCTGCTGTGAACATGCATGCACATGTCTTTTGGTAGATCTAAGTAGCTATTTCTACACAGCATACACCTGAATTAAAATTGCTAGGTAACAGGGGATATATGTAGGTTTAGTTTTTCAAAGTAGTTGTACCATTTATACTCCCCTAGTTTATGAGGGTTCCAATTGCTCCACATCTTTAGCAACACTTAGTATTATGAGTCTTTTAATTCTGGTTAGTCTAGCTAGGTGCAATGGCTCACAAAGATGCTCATCTCTCCACAGGTGTGCTTAACTCTGAGAAACTACTCAGTGAGGAGGGTAATCCCAGCACTTCGGGAGGCTGAGGGAGCAAGACTGCTCAAGTCCAGTAGTTCAAGACCAGCCCAGGCAAAATAGCAAGACTTGGTTTGTACTAAAAATTTAAAAATGAGCTGGGCACAGTGGCATGTGTCTGAGTTCCAGCTACTTGGAAGGCTGAAGCAGGAAGGTCCCTTCAGCATAGGAGGTGAGATTGCAATGAGCTAGGATCATGCCACTGCACTCTAGCCTGGGCAACAGAGTGACACTCTATCTTAAAAATGACAACAACAAAAACGAGAAACAGAGAAAAATCAAAACTACTGGGGAAAGGGAGGACCCACTGAGAACCATCCCAGCAACCCATCCACAGCTAGTCTTCCCTGGACACCATGAACCACATTGTGCAAACCTTCTTCACTCCTGCCAACAGCAGCTACCCGCTATGAGACACTGAGGGAGGAGCATGACGTGGCTGTGCTGGGGGCGCCCCACAACCCTGCTCCCCAACATCCACATCCTTAGTGAGACGTCCATGCCCAACCATGTCGTCTGGTCCCTGTTCAACACCCTCTTCATGAACTCCTGCTGTCTGGGCTTCATAGCATTCGCCTACTCTGTGAAGTCTAGGGACAGGAAGATAGTTGGTGACCTGACTGGGGCCCAGGCCTATGCTTCCACCACCAAGTGCCTGAACGTCCGGGCCCTGATTTGGGGCATCATCATGACCATTCTGCTTATCATCATCCCAGTACCAATCTTGCTAGTCTACCAATAGATCAGGAGGCAGCATCCAGGCCAGCAGCTCTGCCCATGACCTATTACCAATGAACTCCACTTTCCATTCCTCGCCCTGTCCCCAGAGCCAAGTCCTGTATCAGCCCTTTATCCTCACACTTTTCTAGAATGGCATTCAATAAAGTACAAGTGTTCCTGGATTTAAAAAAAAAAAAAAGTATTATAGTGGAAGCTGGTTGAAGATGCCATAATAGCCAGGAAAAAATTAATAATCTTTCTGAATTATTAAAAAGTTACTATAATAGTTACTTTTAACAAGGAGGGGAGTTATGACCAGAGGGGGACAAAGGGGACCTCTGGGTGCGAATTGTATTTTCTTTTTTCACTTTGTTGCCCAGGCTGGAGTACAGTGGTGCAATTTCATTTCACTGCAATGTCCACCTTCCTGGCTCAAGTAATCCTCCCACCTCAGCCTCCTGAGTAGCTGGGACTACAGGCACACACCACCACACCCAGCAAATTTTTTGTCTTTTTTTCTTGTAGCGACAAGGTTCCACTACGTTGCCCAGGCTGGACTCAAACTACTGGGCTCAAGCAAGTCACCCACCTTGGCCTCCCAAAGTATGGGAATACAAGTGAGGGCCACCACATGCAGTCATGTTCTAGTCTTATTCTCTGTACTGATTGTAAGGATATATTTAAAACTCATTTTTAAACTATATCTTAAATTATGTGATAGTTCTACAATTTTTAAAAATGTGTCAAAAAAAAGGTTGCCATTGAGCTACCCTCCCACCTCCTCCTTCTTCCCACACTTTTAAAAAAAATTATACTGTCAGTTCTGGGATACATGCGCAAAACGTGCAGGTTTGTTACATGGGTATAGGCTTGCCAGGGTGGTTTGCTGCACCCATCAACCTGTCACCTACATTAGGTATTTCTCCTAATGCTATCCCTCCCTTAGCTCCCGACTCCCCAACAGGTCCCAGCGTATGATGTTCCCCCTCCCTGTGTCCATATGTTCTCATTGTTCAACTCCCATTTAAGAGTGAGAACATGCGGTGTTTGGTTTTCTGTTCTGTTAGTTTGCTAAGAAGGATGGTTTCCAGCCTCATTCATGTTCCTGCAAAGAACATAAACTCATCCTTTTATATGGCTGAATTATCATGGGGTATATGTGCCACATTTTCTTTATCCAGTCTGTCACTGATGGGCAATTGGGTTGGTTCCCAACCCAGAGTCTTTGCTATTGTGAACAGTGCTGCAATAAACATATGTGCGCATATGTTCTTACAGTAGAATAGGTTATAATCCTTTGGGTATATATATACCCAGTAATAGGATTGCTAGGTCAAATGGCATTTCTAGTTCTAGATGCTTAAGGAATCACTACACTGTCTTCCACAATGGTTGAGCTGATTTACACTCATAAAAGTGTTCCTATTTCTCGACATCCTCTCCAGCATCTGTTGCTTCCTGAGTTTGTAATAACCGCCATTCTAACTGGTGTGAGATGGTGTCTCACTGTGGTTTGGATTTGCATTTCTCTAATGACCAGTGATGATGAGCTTATTTTCTTTTTTTTTTTTTTATAAAGATGGGGTTTCACCATGTTGGTCAGGCTGGTCTTGAAC